TATGTATACAAAATATTATAAAATTCACATTATATTAATAAATTTATTCTTGATCAGAAACTTCTGGCGATGAACATGTTTCCAATGTAATCCCATGTTTTCTCTGTTGTGAAACAAGTATATTAGATATTTACAATGCAAGAACAAAATGTTTTAGTAAACTTACATTTATTTCAGATTTTAATGCTTCAAGTTCTTTTTTCTTCTTTCTGTTAAAGAATCCAATTTTAATTAATGCTAAAATTATCAATATTAGCAATAAAATTCCTACAATAATTGATACAATTATAATCCATGTGGCAATTTGTTCAGTTACTGGTGAACCTAAGAACATTGTAGCAATCATAGCATTATGAGGTTTATGTTGTTTTTTATTGGTACTATAATATGACTCTAAAATATTGATATCTCCATTAGTTAGGAAGAATATAATATCTTTTTCTTTCATTGTTTTTGCTGTAATAAAAAATTAAAGGGAAATGATATTTCTAATCATATTTTATAAACTAAAGATATAATACAAACATATAAAAAAGAATCTTACATTTAAAATTAGATAAATAAAAGTCTAATATAAGTGAAAGTTTTGCAACGGATGAAGAATGTAAAAAGGGACCAAGTTTACATTTAATACGTGTACATTCTACATTAGTATTTGTGCAATTAATATAAACTGATCTATTTTCAGCTGGAAAATTTCTAGAAAAATTGGTATCCATTGTAAACTTTTCTTGCGTATATAATTCAGTAGTTGTAATATCAATTTTAGATTCACTAACTAAAGTAGTTAGATGTGTACAATGAAAGGGTTGACCATCCATATAACCAATTGTTTGATTTATATTAATAATTTGTATATTTCCTGTAGAATATTTCCAATGTGTTGGAATATTAACTATTAATATAACTTCATTGATTGGACTAGCTCCAAATTTCTGAATTTCATAAATATGTTGAAATTGAACACTGCTTAATTTGTTGTCCCCATCTTCAAGAAAATATGAATATAGATCATCTTGTGCTTTTCTAAAAAATAATGCAGAAAAGACAATTATAATCAATAAACATGAATATATGTGGTATAATTAAATAGTTATCAAATGTATATAAAAAGTAAATGTAAGAATACTAACCCTGCTATTGCTATGTCAGCATCAGCATCAAAGTACATAGTTAAAGTATGTGTATTATTAAATGAATTTTTTTCTTTACTTTGTGTATTAAAGTTGATCCATAGTTTTACATGTTTTAGATCAAACTGAACTTTAGTCATATCTAAATCTAATGTTAATGTTTTCTAATGAAAAAATAATTAATATTATTTTATTGAAGAATTCCTATCATTTAAAGAAAATGATACTTACATATTTCCTAAGTGGATTTCCAAGATCACATATTACCTCCAAAGTATTATTTTTATAAAAACTTTCCATACATGAAGGTGGTATACTTGCTAATGATAATATTTTTGGTATATATATGAATATTTTAGCTTGATATGCAGGCTCACCATAATTAAAAACATCTATTTTAAGTTTACTAGTTAATGTTGATCCAATAATGTATCTGTTATTAGATTTTAAATCTGTTGAAAGCAATATCTTTACATCTGATGTACAAATATTATCTTCACCACAATCTACAGCAAATGGTAATTTTATCAAATCTTCCGTTTTAGAAAATAATTTGTTTATTGCTATCTCAGGTTGTGAAAAATTTGATTTTATTTCACTGTCGTTTAACTTTATACCTTTTTCCAAATTAATTGATATAAATATTTCAATTGGATTTATTATGTTTTGAATATTTTCCTAGTAAAATCAAACAAATAAAATATAATATCTTTCTTCCAAAAAAGAAATTTTTATAAGATTTTACCTTCAGATATATTTTAAGTTGATTGCATAACTTTTTAGATGTATGCAAAGTATCAGAAAATTTATAAATGTTATTATTTTTTTCTGTACCATAATAAGCTCTTCTATACATTTCATCGATTTTTAAAGTTTGCAGAACTCCTAACAATTATTTAATTTGTTAATAATAATAGTTACAGATTTTATTATATAAATAATTAATTATATACTTACGCAGATATTTAGGTGCATTTATTCCATTATAATATGTACACATATCAATTGAAAATGAAGTAGAATTTCTTAATAATTTTTTATTTTCATTATAAGTCAATTTTGCAGTTATTGTTATAACTGGTTTTGATTTTATTAAAATTGTTTGTTCAGATAAATAAGCTCCAACTGCAATATCAGAATATTTGTCACCATTTATGTCACGAGGTTCTGAAATTGAAATTCCAAATCCACGGGTGTTGCTTCCAAATTGTTTTCCAATTATTCTTTGACTATAATGTTTAGGTAAGCCATTACTATTGCCATTGAATATATATATTGCACCACTTTCTTCTTCATATGGTGCACCAACAGCAATATCACCATAACCATCGTAATCAATATCACCAAGACAAGTTATGGCAGAACCAAATCTACTTCCAGGTACTTTCCCATCAAATGATTGTTTTGTAAAAATTTCCTGGTATTTAAGATTAATATATGTGTTAAATTAAATACTAAAGTATTATAAGTCTTGATTAATTATGAATTCAAGGTTCATACAAATAATTTGCATATTTAAAGAAATAAAATTTTAGTTATGTTTACATCATAGTATTTTCTTTTTTACTTTCATAATAATCCAATTATATTACAAACTGTACGTACATCATAGAAAGCAGTAAAGACATATATACGACCTTCATCCATATTTTTTGACCATTGTGGTGCTCCAACAATTAATTCATCTTTATTATCACCATTAAGATTACATGATGTTAAGACAGCACCAAAATATTCACCATGTTGTTCACCATTCAAAGACTTTTTCACTTTCAATTTTGTATTATCATTATTAGAAAAAGTAAACATAATAACACTTCCATATATATTAAAAGCTCTTGGAGCACTAGAAACGAACCATAACTGGTCATTCGTAAAATAACCAGACGTTACTGCATATCCTAAATGAAACATATATTACCATTTTATATGTTATAAAATATTTTGTATTAAATATTTCATTTAATTTACACATAGTTTTTGTTTATTTATATCTTATTACACTATAATAAAGAGTCAAGATCTATATTAAACAAGACAAATGACTAAATCTAGAAAATATGTTTACTGAAATTCTTTTATATATTGCTTTAATTAAATATTATATTTTTTTAATATCTACACATCAGTGAATGTATTTAAAATTATTTTCCAATATTTGGTGTATTAAAACTATATATACTACATTGTTTAATTATTAACAATATATGAGAAAAGTATATTATTTACCAAAATAATTATTTGTTTGAACTGCTTTTTCATCCTTAATTGATGGAATTATAGTTTGCATTTCACTATCAATTGATTGTGTAGCTAATAGGGGTGTGCCTTTCCAATTATATACACCTGGGCTACCTAGTATTAAATCCCACTTTAATTCATTAGATGTCATATGCATAGAAAAACCAACTTGACTCATTCCAAAATTATAAATACGCATTCCATTCATAATAGTAGTTTGATCAAGGTTTGAAAATGACAAAATTTTACTTTCAGCTTCTTTTTCAAACGATTTAATATCATTAATTAATGATAAATAACAAATGCCATTCATAAACCAGCTAGATTTATTTTCACATATATTATTTTTCCATCGTGGACCACAAACCTTTTAAAATATTAATTAATTCTGTTAAAAATTAATTACATTCTAGGGAAGAAATAAATATAAATTTTAACATACCACAATTCTGGGATTGGTTTTATTTTCTATAGCAATTGTTGCACCAATCCATGCATTATCTTTAATTTGATTAATGGTTGAACACTGTTCATGCTTGTTGCCATTTCCACTTTTATCAATGATCCATTCCTTACATCTTTTATTAATTCGACATTGATATACAGTACCTGGTTCAATTACATTTTGTATTAAACTTGTATTTGCTCTGGGAGCACCTACAAGTAATATGGAATCTACTTCATCTGTGTAAAGTGCAACAGAAAATCCAAAATAACTTCCTCGTTGAGAATTTAAAACTTTAGGAACATTAAATACTTTAGCATTATCAACATCTAAATTATATGCTAGTACATCATATTTTAAAATTATAAGTACAAAACTAGAAAACCATATATTAATTTTAATTGATAAGGTTAACATTTTAAGTGACTAATCTTAAGAAAACTAAAAGACAGAATTATATGTACTACCTCAAAAACTGAAAGAATTGAGGTTTTATACTCACAGGAAGGAAGTACTATGTATCTACAAACCACAATGACATCATGAAGGAATTGGTCAATATTTGTATTTCATATATCTACATTTTTTATTAAAATTAAAATGAAAGTCGTATTAGATAAAAAATAAAGTTACACAAATTTATTGGATAATAAATTAATGCATAAATTTAGGTAGTTCTTTCCTTTATTTGTTATAAGTTAATAAAGACGTATAAATGCAGGATTAAATAATGCGATATTCTTAACTTGTTTTCAAAGCTAAACATATAAGGAAAAAATGTATATCAATTTATTGTTTTATTTTCCATCACACTTACAAACCATGTCAACAATACACATTAGCTGAGTTGCTTATTATAGCTAATGCAGCATTAATTTACCTATAATTCTCGGCGGTATTTTGCTGGAGTTTCGATTATATACGATTTAATGGTCATATCCAAATATGTTTACTTTATAATAATAAATCGAATTCTAAACAATTACGATGTCAGTTGTTAATAATTTTAAACATTTGAGACTACTAAATTCGTAACTTTTTGTACCAATTACAAAATGTTGTGATTATATCACAATTAAAGTTGTTTTAAATATGGTGAAAAAAGATTTATTTCTCTGGGGCAGTCTTGCATCATAAGAGATTCCAATAAAATATAGGATACATATGAAGATAACAGAAAAGTAATAAAGTCTAAAAGAAGATAGAAAAAACCGGCCATATTTGCGTGTGAACAAACTTAGTATTATAAAAATATACTTCAAGGAATCACAGATTCATTATGTACAAAAGGAAAGGGATTAAAAGGTTGAAGGTAACAGGAGCTTAATCGGAAGAATCAGTTGTAGTTGAAATGGTTTGGGACAAAGACTTATGTCGAATAAGATAGCTCCTTCTTACTACATTCACCTTTTTCCTAAAATATTCTAAACTTTTTAATTTTTGCTCGTGATCAGAGCTTTCTGCGTCATTTTGATCTTTCTGTGCTTGTTCTCCATTTTTTTCAGTTGTAGATACTCCTGATGTAATACCACTGTCAGAAGTTGAAGGAACTTTGCTTGATTTGTTCGCTGGCACTGATGGACCATCTTTTTGAATTTTTATTGCATCACTAACATCATTTAAATAGACTTTCCAATCTGATTTCTTTTTCTTTGAATCATAATCGATTTTTTGCCGTTTGCTTTTATTTTTAGTAATATCAGTTTTTGAGTTAGTTTTACATTTCTTATGTTTTCTTCTATGTACTTTTGTGGAAGTATCAGAATCAGTTTTCGAATGTTTCCGTTTACCAGAAACATCATTATCCTCTGAACTGCTACTACTGTAATTTGAATGTTTTGCATTCCTCTTAATATGCAAAACATATTGTGATCTTCTAGAAACTAAACCAGAACTGGTACTAGGCTGAGTTGTATCAACAGGTTGTTCATCACTATCAGAGTCACTATTAATTTGTAACACTGCACACTTTATTCCAGCCCTTCTTATTTCAGTAATTTTACCATGTTTCCTCTTTATAAATTTTAATTTTGATTTAGATTTACACTTAGTTTGTGCATTATCCCCGTCACTAGTAGAACCTGATGCAGATGGTTCTGATGCTGCTGCTGAAGAATTATTTGCTGATGCACCACAATTTACAGCTGCAAGTCTCATCAATTTTTCTCTGCGATATGCTATAAGTCGCGTTATACGATTTGGAGACTCTAAGGGTCTTTCAGGTGCTACTCCACCTCCAGAGGATCCATGAGATGCCAATGTGACTGCAGGTCCCAAAATACTTAACATCAATTGGCGATCTGATACTGTAGAGTCTACATGAAATAAAATATTAATATTATGTTTGCATTTATGACAATCTTTTTTATTATTTCGATGTAATTTTAATTCTTAAAGAAAGAATATACCATCAGAATCTGTTGCACTATAAACTCGTCCAGCTATAAGATTACTTTCAGAATCGCTACGAGTTTGAGGTGTTGTTGAAATATCTTCAGAACTCCAGCCTTCAACTTCACGCTGTACCAATGAATCAAAGAATGCCATCATTCTAGGATCTTCTCTAGTAGATTGATGGCTATAATCATGTGTCATGAATTGACCACTACGTAATACCAATCCAATATATTCATCATGTGTAAATACTCTACGTTGTCTCTCTTGTCTTCCATCATCTCTCTAACAAATAAACACAAACATAATAGTATAAATTATTAATATATTACTTAATAGTTGTATATATTAAAATTACAATATGTATATTACCTTTAATCCACCTAAACCGTTATTTCCAAGAGGAAATGGACTCCAAATCTTAATAAGTTTTTCAACTCCAGATGAAGCAAAAATACAACTAGCTTGATTGTATCTTACTTGATTAACAATAGATCTATGACCACGTAATACCATATGTGCAGAGTTTACCCATTTCACATCCTCAGAAGGAATTTTCCACATATATAGATTAAAATCATCAGAACCTTAAAATCATAAGTTAAAATGTATGATGTATATAAATATTAACAGTATATAAAGAAAGTTATAATTATTATGATATTACTTACCAGAAAGTACATATTCATCATTATCTCCAGCAAAACAGCATGATTTCATTGTACAACTGTTATAATATCCAGGATGATCAAATTGACATAAGTGATTAGGAGAATCTACAGCATAAAGTACTGGGGGCAATCTTCTTCTCAAAGCTAACAATCTATTACCTGCTGCATTAAATCTAACGTTCATACAGCTCTGAGCTGAACTTTCATTTCCATAACGTAATATAGGTCTGCAAATATAAAAGTTTGTTATTTTAATGAAATATTTTTATACCTTTTGTTTTTACTTACATCAAAGGTTTCCTTATATCCCACATGCTAACACCTTCCTTAACATTGGCAGTAGCAAGCATCCTAGATTCAATAGGATTAAACATTACAGAATGAAAAGCAGTTTTGTATCGTGCCAAACAAAATATTTCCATGACACTGGAACCTCGTATATCATAAATTAAAATTCTTCCATCATCACAAGCACTTGCAAATACATTGTCATTATGTGGATGTACTGACAAACCATAAACAGGTTTCTCGTGCAAAAAGAAATTCACAACATCTCCTCTATAGTACAAAAGATACAATTATTGAGTTCTATACAATTATACATAAGATTCTTTAATAATAAAAAATTTCATACGTTCGTAAATCATGAACAATGACTTGATCATCATTTCCAGCAGAAAATATTTTTGTTTTGCTACTATCATAACCAAGGCAGAAAATGTTACTAATATGATGAGCTTTCATTACTGCGGGTTTC